TTATGAGAGAAGATTGTTATTATAGATTTGTCTATTTCTACCTTTATTTTTGTCAGTTTTTGCTTCATATATTTTAGAGATAATTATCGTTATTACCATCATTTGTTGTAGGTTCTTTGTATGTAATGTGTCTTTAATTTTTGTCAGCTTTCAAGCTTATTCCGTATCTGTTTTCAGCAGTTTTAGCCTAGATATAATTCTCTTTTATATTTATCTGCTTTGAGGTTGCTGAGCTTCCTGTATTGGTAAGTTTGTCTTTATATCAAATTTGTGAATTTGGGAGCCATTTTTTCTTTCTTTCCTATTCTTTTTTCTCCTTTTGGAACTCTAGTTACATGAAATTTAGGCTACTTTATATACTGTCCTAGAGATCACTAAGATGCTGTTCATTTTTTTGAATCATTTTTTTCTATGCTTTTCCAATTGGATACTTTCTTTTGCTTTATTTTCAAATTCATTGTCCTTTTTTTTCTGCTCTCTCAAATCTGCTATTAAGCCCTTTCAGTGAATTTTGTGTCACTTTAGATATTGTACTTTTTTTCAGTTCTAGATTTTCCATTTGGTTCTTATTTTTATATTTCCATTTCTATGCCAAGATTCCCCCTCTGCTCACTCATTGACCATATTTTCTTTGAAAATGTCTGCTTTAAGGTCCTTGTCTGCTAATTCCAATATGGATCATCTTGGGCCCAGTTTCTCTTGACTACTTTCTCTGGACTATGGATCACTTTTTCTTCTTCTTAATTTCTTTGTAGTATGTCTAGTAATTTCTTACTGTACACTGGACATTAAGGATGATATGGTACAGACTCTGGATTCTCTTATCTCCTGAAGAGTTGTATTTTGTTCTAGTAGGCAGTTAACCTGGTTACATTCATGCTCTAAACTCTTGTCTCCTTGCAGTTGGCTACAGCTGAAGTCTTTTCTCAGTTCTCTCAGCCATTCATCAGATACCTTCTGTCAGTCTGCGTGGACTCTGCCTCATAAATGTGTGATTCAAGGACCAACGAAGGATGCTGGTGGAGTTACTTGTGGCAGCCCCAGGCCCACCCGTTTGACTCCGCGAGCCCATATAACCAGCGCTTGTGCTTGACCTTCTGCTGCCAGGATAGGGAGTTGCCCCCAGTTGAAAAGCTATACAGGGGCAAATCTCACCCAATGCTATTGGCATTGGAGAGGAGTAAACAGGAGGGTTTACTCCTCTCCCATTTCTACCTCTTTTATTGTGCTCAAGAGCCTTTACAGCATTATTTATTAATGTTTTTCAAGGATTTATAATTATTATCTGCAGAAGATTTAGTCTCACAAATGTTACTTCTCCATTATTGGAAGTGGAATTTTTTCTGATATACTTTATAATTGTTGAATTATAACCCCTATCTAACTTATAAAAACAGCCATTTACAGGTTTATTGTAGTCTATTTCCTAGATCATTGTTTACCTGTAATGTGTTTTCAGAGGGAAAAAACAGTGCAAAGTACACATTTTAAAATAACACAAGTAGCTATTGTATTATGAATTGAAAACTTAACATTTTTTAGTGCCAGGCAGTAAACATGTTTTACACATGTTGTCTCATTTAATGCCATAAAGTAATTATCAGTATTGCTCTATTGTGCAAACAAAGGACCCATATAGAACTGATCTTTAGATAACTTACCAAGGCCACACAGCTAGTAAGTTTGGGATCAGAACTTCATACAATATCTTCTAGTCTCTTAAGCACAAAAACTTTGCCTCTGGACTGAAATGGTCAAGGAATTTTTTTTAATACAAAAATTATTTTTAAAGTATGGGAGTATGTTCATATACTGATTGGAAGGAGCTTGTAGAGGACCAAATGTTTGATATTTATAAAGAGCAACATGATGACCGATGGAGCAAGTCCCAGAGGTGACAGGAGAGAATGAAGTTAATTGCTGAAGGAAAGTTCAACATTGAACAGATGGAAGCCTTTCTCCCTCAGGTCGAAGGGAAGGACATGGATTGGTGTGGCTATAAAAAAGCTTATGCGAGGAGATAGGATGTGGGGTGGAGGGGTGAGTTAGTTTGAATTTTCTTGATAAAGGAGTCTGTAAAGGTAGACTGAGAGTCAGTTTGAGTGATCGTTGGGTGAAGTTTTGGGAAAAGTGGCAGAGGTTTGAAATATCCCCTACAAATGGTAGAAGAAGCTAAACAAAGTCAGATAGAATGATCCATGGTTGGGGCTCAGAGGTTAATTGAGTCTGGAACCTTGTCTTTGTAGGTGCATCAGTTGTGAGGTTTCCCCTGTGCTCTGCTGTCTATGGTAGGATTAAAAAAGACATATATTAGTCTCATTTAGGATTTATAAAGCACAAGTGATGGAAAGACAAAGATACAAAAGAATTATGGATGCTTTTATAGTAGTATAGTTTTCTGTATAAATAGCTGAGATTAGTAGATGCTTTCCAGTTGGAACTTTCTTCAATTAGGTTCTGAAGTTTAAGATAAAAATTTTTTCAAAAATGAAGTATGATGATCCATAATGAAGAATTACCATGGGCAAGAAGTGTGTTATGGTGGGAAAGCTTGAGACGAGCAGAACCCAGAGCGAATGCCATGATTCTGACACTCATTAGCGGGATATGACATTGGGGAAATCACTAATGTGGCCTCTAGTTAGTTGTTTTGTAAAATGAGGGTACCTCTTAAAATTCTGCGTCTTCAGATGTTAATTATGAAACTCATTTTAAAAATAAACTGAGAGTTGACCTAGTTTGTGCTTTTTCTTACATTACTGTAAGAATTTTTTTGTTGTTGGGATTAATATAAAATACATTTTAAATCTTAATAGTTCTAATTTTGTGTATGTCTTCTAACAGCAGTCTATTGGTGTATTTCAGAAGAATTAATTGTGCGTTAGCCGATAATAAGTCAAATTTTCTACAAGACACCCATATGTATAAAATACTCATATAAATATAGTATATGACCCTCCTATTGTTACCCAAGTCTTACTTAATCTACTTATGAAGTAACCCCCAAAATTTCATACAGTAGAATGGAGTATATGTGTAATTATTCTTGAAGAATTATCTATATTCCTGACACCTATTTAGGGGACTCATCCCAATGCTATTCAGCAACGGCTCATCAAAGCCAGAAGCATTCCGAAGTAAATGAATAATATCTCTGACATGTAGTTGGGCTATGTGAGCCCCTTTTTCCCCCTTTAGTCCCGTGTCTGTTTTCTGTGAGGGCGATGGATTGGTGGATTTTCACAACAGGGTGAGGAACAGGAGCACATCCTCACAACTGAGGTCACAAGAGTATTTTTTTCCTCTGTAATTGCTAAAATCTGACTTAAATAAGCACTCACTCTCTTGAGAGGATATTTGTGTTTAACATCTAGAGGAGAATAAAAGTCCTTTCCATGTCTTTAATCAGGTAGATCTACTCTAACCTCTGTGAACCATAAAGCCCTTTATCGACCACCAGTGGAAATTCCTCTAGTGGGCAGGTGAGGTATTGTGGGCCAACCTGGCTCCTGCATCCTGGCTCTGGGTGTGTCATTTGTCCTTCATGAGCCCCTCATGATGGAAGCTCCACTGGAGAGAAGTGAGAAACCTACAGGGACGTGTTAGAATAGTGCAGCTGTAAGGCTGCCCATGTACCCAGAAAGCCCTATCAGTGTTGGGAAGTTTGTTGTTTCTGGGGAACTACGTTAATTTCATTCATTCATGCATTCAACAATTTATTAAGCACCACCGTGTGCCGGTACTACCATTCTGGGTCTTGAGGACACAGTCCCTGCCTTCATGAAGTCACATTCTAATGGGGACATGAAGGTACTAAGCAAAGGGCCATAAACACAAGGGTGGAGGGACTGTTATTTTCAACGGGGTGGTGAGGGAAGGAGGGCTTCCCTGTAAAGGTGACAGTTAAGTCCTAAAGGAAAGAAAGAGCCAGCCTCTTGTGATGTTTGATGCTTTTGTGCATATTAGAAAACCCCATCTAGAGAGAGAGATTTTTAAAAGCTCCTTCTCTCTCTAGGTTGATCAATTAGAGAAATGTTTTCTCTGGAAAGCACCCATCCTAGGGACCTATGGCTTTGGTAAGCAGACAGTGCCTTTTTGTGAACGAAAAGACACCCCCCTCTCCAGGCAGACGCAGCCCCATTCCTGGGCAAACACTTAATGGGTAGGGAAGGAATAGAGTTTTGTCCCCACTCATCCTTCCTGCTGGTCACTCTTGTGCAGCGCACACGCTGCTTAGCACAGAAGCTCTACGAGAAAGCATGTGGTGGAATTCTAGGCAGAGAGAACAGCAAGGTCAAAGACCCTGAGGCAGGACCATGTGCAAGAAACACCAGGGAAGCCAATGCAGCTACCAGAGCGAGCAGGATCAAAGGAGGAGACAAGGTCAGGCTTTGGGTTCACTGACACTGATGATAGTATAACATAAATCTTTAGCTCTTTATAGTTTTCAAAGAACTTTCATATATGATTTTATAGGATTTCTACAGCTCATGACAAGAAGCTCAAAGAAGTTACATTACTTAGTTAAGTAATACAATCAGCAATATAGGGGCTTAGAATTTAACTGAAGTCCTCTGCTTTTAGCACTTTTCATGATACTGCACCTCAGAGATGAGTTCGTAATTTTAGAGCACTAAACCTTTTTTATATCACCAGCTCCCTTACAGAGCTCTATTTTTATGAAAACAGACCTTTCTGAACTCTGTGCTGTGATCTGAAGCGTCCAATTATTGTTCTTTTTCTGTAGTTAACTTCAATAGATTAAAAAATTCTCTATTGTAATTTAGATGTTTTCCATAAACCCATTTACATCTATTTTCTCATCCTAATAGGTCTTTGAAATATTATCTGATCACAACACTTTTTGAAAATGTGGCATTTTTGCTAACCCAAACCATGTAATTGTTAGAAAATTAATTTAAAAATCTCACAAAAAGCACTTCTTTGGTGAAAAGAAAAGTGTGTGTATTAATCGGGGTTTTCCTGTGAATTTGTTTCAGCTGGAAATGGAAAAGCTTCAGCTACAAGCCCTGGAGCAGGAGCACAAGAAGCTGGCTGCCCGCCTGGAGGAGGAGCGGGGCAAAAACAAGCAGGTGGTCCTCATGCTGGTCAAGGAGTGCAAACAGCTCTCGGGCAAAGTCATCGAGGAGGCCCAGAAGCTAGAGGAAGTCATGGCCAAACTGGAAGAGGAGAAGAAAAAGACGAATGAATTAGAAGAGGAACTCTCCGCCGAGAAACGGAGAAGCACAGAAATGGAAGCTCAGATGGAAAAACAGCTCTCTGAGTTTGATACCGAACGGGAACAGCTTCGTGCCAAGCTGAACCGCGAAGAAGCACACACCACTGACCTCAAAGAGGAGATAGACAAGATGAAGAAGATGATCGAGCAACTGAAAAGAGGAAGTGACAGCAAACCAAGCCTCTCTCTCCCACGCAAGACAAAAGACAGGCGTTTGGTTTCCATATCTGTGGGAACAGAAGGGCCTCTGACGAGGTCTGTTGCTTGCCAGACAGACCTGGCGATAGAAAGCACTGACCACGTGAAGAAGTCACCTTTGACTGTACCTGTAAAGCCTTCCCCGGGGAGCCCCCTGGTCCCCGCGAACGCGAAAGGGAGCGTGGGCGCCAGCGCCGCGTTGGTCAGACCAGGGATTGACAGGCAGGCTTCCCACGGGGACTTGATCGGCTCTTCTCTACCCACTCTCCCACCTGCAAGCACAAACAGAATCGAGGAAAACGGACCGAGCCCGGGCTCGACCCCAGATCTAACGAGCAGCACAGCGCCCCTGCCCTGCAGCGCCGCCCAGAGCCCGGTTGCAGCCGCGCACGCGTTACAGTCGCCGTGCGCCAGCGCGCCCCCGCACCCCGGCCTGAACCCGCGCGTGCAGGCGGCTAGATTTCGATTTCAGGGCAATGCTAACGACCCAGACCAAAACGGAAATACTACCCAAAGTCCTCCATCGAGAGATGTCTCTCCCACGAGTCGTGACAACCTAGTGGCCAAACAGCTAGCTCGCAATACTGTGACCCAAGCACTGTCGAGATTTACAAGCCCTCAAGTGGGTACTGCCGCAAGGCCTGGAGCGTCCCCCACAGGGGACGTTGGCGCCTACCCTCCAGTCGGTCGGACCAGTTTAAAGACTCCCGGTGTAGCTCGAGTTGACAGAGGAAATCCTCCTCCTATCCCTCCAAAAAAGCCAGGGCTCTCCCAGACTCCTTCTCCACCACACCCCCAACTCAAGGTTATTATGGATAGCAGCAGGGCCTCGAACGCAGGGGCCAAAGTTGATAACAAAACTGTGGCTTCGCCTCCTTCCAGTTTGCCACAAGGGAACAGGGTAATAAGTGAGGAGAACCTCCCTAAATCATCCTCCCCTCAGCTGCCACCAAAACCGTCCATAGATTTAACTGTGGCACCTGCAGGCTGTGCTGTCTCAGCCCTGGCCACGTCTCAGGTGGGTGCCTGGCCTGCTGAAACCCCTGGACTGAACCAACCTGCATGTTCAGACAGTTCCCTTGTCATTCCTACCACCACTGCCTTTCGCTCTTCCATAAACCCCGTTAGTGCCTCATCCTGTAGACCAGGTGCCTCAGACAGCCTCCTGGTAACAGCATCAGGTAAAGGGATTGAAATATTGTACCCTTTTTTAAAGAATGTGGCCTATCCTCTCACTTGCCTTAATTTCCTTCATATTGCTTTGAAACTTTTTTTTTTTTAATTTGGTACATTTTTCCCCCTATTTCTTTCCTCTCTTTTTTTGTATTTTTGTTTAAAGACTCCGGGGTATGGTGATTCATCTTGCTATACGAATTGCGGTTTGGTTACGCTTAGTGCTTTCTTCTTTTAAAATAACCTGAAAATAGTGTCTTGAAGCATGTGGAGACCATTAATTTAAAGAGACAAAAAATTTACAGGAGAGGAAAGAATATTCTTTCTTCTCACATATTTATCTTACAAGACCTCAGTATGAATGAGTTATCAGATATAGTATGGTTCAGTTCTATCCCTTCTGAGATGAAATTAGAAACTTAGAAGTAATTAACACTAGCCTGGATTATCAAATTAATTAGATTTGTTCTATAATTGGGATATTCTAGATTTTAATATCGGCTTGTTAAGGTTATTTTTTTACCCTCAAAAATGGAGCGTGAATATTTATAGATCTATTTCAAAAGCTGTATACCCTGTTTAGAGCTGTCATCTTCCGACAGTTGAGCACAGATGGATCACATAGCATGTAGACTGTATTACAGAAGTTTTCCATTTCAGACGTGGTTTATGAAGTCACTGAATCTGGGACTCTTGAACAAAGAACTGGATTTTTTCCCTTTTGTGATACAGTACTAGAGGAAGCATTGCTTTTTATTGACACGACTGAATGAGTTCACTGAGCAAACGTGGCTCTAAAATAATGTTATGGTGCCAAAGTTCTGGTAAAGCTTTGGAAAAGTCTCTCCTACCATGGGATCTTAGTGGTTAGTGGAGACCACTAAGAGGGAACTTTAAGAATTGAAGGAAGATTTGAATAATGTTACTTTTAAAGTTTAGAGGGGAGAGTGGGGATGAGAAAAACAGCACTAGCTAATTATCAGGTAATGAAAGCAGTACACCAAGACTTATTTGTCCAATTACAAGCTATTTCTTTGAGATTAAGCTCTTTGTGAGGCTATATCCATATTTTGAGGGGCAAAGTTAAGAATTGGAAACAGGATGGATTTTGACATTAGATCTGCTTTGAAATCTAGACTCTGCCACTTGCAACTGTGTGTTTTTGGTGACTTTTCTTGAACTGAGCAAGATTTTTCTTCCTTATTGTGGAGCTTATGCTACTCATATAGGGGAAGGTAGCTATTAGGAGGAACAAATGCTATCACATGTGAGAGGGCATGGTATTGAGCTTAGAAAAACACAAGCGATCAATAAACAGGTGATGTCACTGCTTCACTGATGCTGTTACTTAAAGCATTTTTGAGAAGTTGCTTTAGAATTGTCTTTACTCTTATTTTGTGATGTCTTTACAGGCATTCAGCTTTCCGTATTTTTGATCCAAAATGGTTTTAATGAGCTGGACAGCCCTTCTCATGACCTACAATAATGCTAGCGACTTCTCACTAATTAAATCTACCCTCAGAAAAGGAATTTTTGATATCATTCAGGAGAATCAGAGAATGACCTGTAAGATCTTTGGGCAGCCACAAAACACAAGTTCCAAAAATGTTTGGAGCAGGAGCAGGGATAGTAATATGAATGCCTAGACTATAGAATAGAAACTTTACAGGAGATAGAAGTTTTGTCAATTTTTTAAAAAAATACAAAGCCATGTTTAAGCTTTGATATCTTGAGACTCTGCCAGTTGTTGCCTTGCTTGTTACTGTGGTCCAGGGTCCAGCTGCAAACGTCCTTCGGTTTCAGTAGAGAAGCTTTACAACCAAGATATATGACTGAAGAGCATTTTGGCAGCAGGATTTTAAGTTAACTTTTAAAATGGACAATTCCTAATCTATTATATATTCACCAGAATGACCTGTCTAGGATATAGTGGAATTTTTGATAAAGGAGCCATAACTTCTCTGAAAAATTCTCTTTGCTTGTGTTTGGAGAGCAAAAGGCAATAAATAGTGGACCAAAGATACGGCAGCCACTGAAGATAAGTGAAACTGCTTTCTTATTTTCTATTCTTTGATTTTTGCAATTTGGCCGAAGTGTTCTCAGAACTGCAGGATCACCCTTGGTAGGATAACAAAATTCTATCATCATTTGATTATCAGATGCGGCTCATTAGGGGAGAATGTCCTTAGTCATTCAGCAAGTGTTGACTGAGCAACTATTTGCTATGGGGAATGGAAATGTTATTACACTTATATAATGGGGAGGTGTAACTATATAACTCTACTGCGGATGGAGGTCAGCCTGAACTTACCAAATGAGATACAGGATTTCAAATCTGTTTTCCAGTTAGATTGCCCCTATTTTTGCCACCATGACCATTGGAACCAGGAAGCACCAGAGTTCCCTCCATCCTGCTTCCTAACCTGTCTGTGCCTGGGTGAGCTTGTGCCTCTCCAGGTCATGAGCCTACTGAATGGTATTAACCTTCTCAATAGCCACTAATAACCACTGGGGTTGCCAAGGGCAGAGCATGGGGACGGAGTACATCTGCCAAATACCTGACAGATGTCTATTCCAATGTCAGTGATCAAATGAGCACTGAACTGAGTGTAAAAAGGCAGGATTAGTCCATTTCTGCCTCTTTCTAGTTATCACCCTAGGGAACAAATTCTCTCTGAGCCATTAGTTCTTCCATTTAAAAATGAAAGCATTGAATCCCCTCTAATAATAATAATAATATTTCCAAACAAAAAAGATTTCTTAAACTTGCCTGATGAATTTTCAAACAACAGTTCGGTACCTCTCCCTCGTTGGAGAACCACTAGATCCATAATCTTTCAAAATCTAAAATTCTGTATTTCCATGTCAGCTTGTATCTGTGACAATTATGCCTTAAAGCACCAAGGAGAATTAGAATGACAGAAGTTACCATTTTAATGAATTGCATTGTAAATTACCCTAACTCTACTGGCAACTTTTATGGCCAAATGTTAAATTTTTAAATAATGTTTTAAATTCTAAATGAATTAGAATTTTTTGTTCCTCCTGAACTTGTCAAATGAACACATTTCAAATGTTAGATGGACAGAATCCTAAATTGAAAATAATTGTAGGCAACTGAGTTCCCATACTCTTGGAAATTTTTTTCTGTTTGTTTTTTAATTTGATACATTTTATTTAATTTGGTTCATACTTTTTTCCTTTTATATATCTTTTAAAAAATCATTCTCCATGTATGATTGGCTTAAAGGCAAATCAGAAAACAAGAATGATCTCGGCTATGACATTAACCTCTCTACCCTCTGAAGCTGATGCCGGAAGCTGTTCTCAACACCTCTTCCCTCTGCTATCGCATGTTCGGTCTGATCCCTTCCTCATGGCATGTTGTGCGAGATGCTCACCTTTACTAATGTTTGCATACGACACTGCAAAGCTGAATGACCTTTTGCTAACATCATTAGAGTAGCTGTATGGATACAGGTCTGTTCTGTCATTATTTAACCATTACTTAACCAGTTAACTAAATATTACCATTTTATTGTTGGGAATTTCAGATGAATGATACAGTCTCATGCTGAAGTTTTATCTCATATTTATGGCAGGATTTATTAAAATAACTTAAACTTGTCTGTGCTAGAGAAAATTGGAAATGATAGTGAAGATGTAAAATTTATTTGAAGTTTAAGAATACTTGATACTTATAAAGCATTTCTCTTTGGTAAAGATTTTAAAAATGTAGTCCTCTAAGAATATAAGGAAACCAATATATCTCCTGTAGTTCTATATAACAGAAAGAGAACTATAAGACCCTTGAATGGTCTAAAGATTGAGAAAAAAGTTTGAATGAAACTTATTTTTAAAAATAGGATTTCTCAGGAAATTATAGCCATAATTGAATATTTCCATGTAAAGCAGTTGAAAAATATATTTAAATTGTCCCCCCTCCAAGCCTAGAATTGTGGTGATAAAAAGAAAAGTGAAAACAAAACCCAAAAGAATAGCAAACCATTTAATATACATGTGTTGGGCCAGGCATGGTAGCTGATGCCTGTAATCCCAGCCCTTTGAGAGGCCAAGGAGGGGGGATGGCTTGAGGCCAGGAGTTTGAGACCAGCCTGGGCAACATAGCAAGACCCTGTCTC